ATCTTTACTTTTCCTCCTGTGTGGCCCTGAGTTGGACCTTCATGCGGTAAGGTTTAGGAGACAGAGTGACTCCATAGACGGGGGTTTAGTCCGGTTGTTCTGCATCTTCAGGCCAGATGAACTTGAACCTCCTCAACAGAGTCACCATGATGAGGAAAAGCGCCATAGGAGCCAGGCCCACACGGGGACCTGAGACATGAGACGATTTCAATCAGTAAGTCATGTACGGTTCTTAGAATAGAAGATAAACACTCTAGTTTGGGGCTCTCATACCTGCAGAGAAAGGCATGAATGCATCTGGCTTTGCAAACTCTCCCTGGTCATTCAGGAAGTTTTCCGGGTTGAATTAATTTGGGAATTTCCACTGTGCCTCCTCATTCAGCACCGAGTTCAGGTTTTGGATGATCAATGTACGCTGAGGAGAAAGACAGCTAAAGTATTGCATTTATGTCATATGTTTTTCTGGGTCATGAAGGTGATCTATTATTAAATAACCAACTGGCTTCTTTAATTTAATTTATTACTTTTTTAAATGTTCTGTTCTCTCTTTTGTTTATATTCCTCGCTCTGGTAAACGTTCTTTTCTTTCCAGCAAAAGCATGTTTATTTTCTTGATTAATTGTCCAACATTAGTTTTACCTTGGGTAAGAAATATCCCATGAGCTTTGTATCTTTTGTTGTGCAGTGGTAGACACTAAGGGGGACAGTGTTGGCTATCCTCTGGACTTCATGGATCACCGCCTAGAATAAAAGAAATTACACAATATGTTCTTATGCTTTATCAAACTGAGAGGGTCATGTTTCAGGCTGTGCATGGCCACGATAAACACCTCACTAAGCTTGTAGCAGGAGAACCTGCCATGAGGATGCTGACTATCCCCATGTTTTAAAAACCACATAGCAAGAAACTGGACCATAAAGTCATGTAAAAAAGAAAATCGGTTGAGAAGCTTCCTCAGTGAATGAACCCCTATCTGTGGCAGTTCATATTGTTGTGTTGTGTTATACTCAGACCCACATGAAATATCAAAACTAACCGGAGAAATCGGTCTGATAATCTACCTGCGTGTAAGGCATGTTGCGTCTGTCATCGTAACTGGCATGATCCTTCTTTTCCAACACCTGGTTGATCTCCTGCTGACATCGCCCTGAAAGGAAGGGTTAAAGACACAGAGGGAGAGACGATAACAGGGTAAAACCCCTGAACACCATACTGACACATTGTCAAACAATCAGTAACATGAATAAAATAAAAGAATAGATACCAGATTGAAAGCACAGTTGTACCATGTATATGTGGGTAGGTCATGAGGTAGAGGAAGCCAGTGAGCAGGGTGTTGGACGTAGTGTCAGTCCCAGGAAAGTGAAGATCCAGAACAAACATGATGAGTCGATCCTCACAGAAAGAGGAGCAATCATCACTTCTCTGGAAGGAGACACATCCCTTTGATTTTTGATTCTCTCTCTGTCTCTCATTTAAATGAACTTTATTTGCATGACACACACCTTATCCAGCTCATCCAGGTAGCAATCAAGGAAGTCCCGTGGTTGCCCTGGGACTCTTGTCTCTTTGTGCTCAGTGATCAGACAAGTTGCAAGTTTCTTACAAGTCTGAGAAATGTAAATGTTTTATCTTTTTACTGACCGAAAAAGTTCCAGGAGGAGACAATGACAACGTTCTTGCTTAAAGCCAAATATTCACATTTCAGACTTTGGTGACTTCAAGTGCAATAAAAAAGACAGCGTAGCACCTTATGCTATAAGGGAAAAATGAAAAGAAATACTATGAATTCACTCACCTCAATGTTCTTAAATGCCTTCATGAAGGGCAGCGGCAGGTTTGAGTCATTGGAATGGAGTCATAGAGCTGGAAGGAATTACAAAAAGGTTTTTTAAAGTTGCCTTCAGTTTTAAGTGGAAAGAAAAAAGGTGAGATGTTTAAACTTTTGCTGCAGTTAAGCAGATATTGTATGTGTACAACAAAAAAGTGATATTCAGAGCTAAATCTCCTTTTGTAATAAAACAGTTTTAGCTTTTAATGTTAGTTTAAATATTGCTCTTGCTTTAGAAACAACATTTAGCACACTTACTATTAAAATCATTATGAGGAGAAATAATGGATGGTCAGTCACTTGTTGATGCCAAGTCACTTGCTAGTTCATATAATTCCAAGGAGACAAAATTTTATGTACATTATACAGAGGGTTTTTGCATAGTTCTGTCACTTGTTTTTTTAGCTTCTTTTCATCACCAACACAGCAGAGTATCAGATATTTATGCACTTTATTGTATCAAATCTTGCAACTAAAAACCTACCCACATACCCACCTTTTTATCTTTTATCTTTTTTTATATTTTCTATCCAAGTATTTTATTCTATTGTTGTATAAATGTGTAAATACTCACGACTCCTCTCAGTAACACACTGTCTGATGTTTCTGAGCCAAAATTGTTACCTTACAAACATGTTGTGACTCACCATAGCCCATGCTCCATTAGCTATCTTGGAGTTTTCTTTAAAGCACTGAACTACCACTTTGATGAAGTTGTCATCGTAGTCATAGCGTGTACCAAACAGAACCTGGCAGATGATGTTGGAGGCTGCATTATGGAACATGACTTAAAGACTCAAGGTTGTACCTGTGACAGATGTAACAATGACAAAACAGCATAGTCAGGACTTTACATAATAAACAACGTGCTATCACTCGCCACAGTTAGAAGAGATCACAGTGAGAGCACCCACTGAATGCTTACCAATGCTCCTTTTCAGTGTTTCCATTGTGTACTGCATCTCTCCCAGAATCCTCTGCTCCATGGACTGCTTCCCCAGACCAAAATTCCTCAAGGTCATCAGAGCAAAGCGACGATGCTCCTTCCAACTAGCGCCGTAGTCTGCCAGAACCATTCCTATAAGAGGCGTAGATATGGACATATGATGCTTTGACACAGTATCTTAAAGTGAGACTATGTAACTTTTGCTTAACAGCAGCCACAAATGGCAATTAAAGTTAAAAATGTCTTGGGGTCGTCCAGCAAAATCCGCAGCCTTGGTTATCATGGCCTCCTTCATGGCCTGAGCCCCATTAATGACTACAGCCGCTCTGGGTCCGATGAATAGACTGTAGACGTTTCCATAGCACTTCCTCAGCTAGGGGAGAGCACGGTAAGAAGCTCTTTAAATGATCATGAATCATTTTTAAATGCAACATGCAATTGATCTGCTTTTAATTCACACCCAAGAAGAGGATTTACTTTTCAAAAAGCAGCTACTAAGACGTGTTACTTATTTCAGTATTCTAGAGTGAACGGTCTGTATTGTCAAATTTAGTTTACAGCCACACAACTGTTCCAATAGCAGTAAATATGTCACATGAAAATATTAACACTGTTGGCAAACTTTGCTCTTTGAAAGAAAATATTTTAACCAGTGGCCTTCACATATGTGTTTGTTTTAGCCTCCTATGTATTTCATAGAACAAAACCTGCAAACATGTTTAGTTAAATTAATTATTAAACTATTATTTATAGTCATTCACTTGTAGCCTTTGAGCAACGGATTTCCTCAGCAACTTCAAATCTGGACTATTTAATTAGGTAACACAACACACTAATAGCCACTTTGCCATGGAGCTGATTACACACACTTAATACTCTGTGTGTACTGCCCACCCTACTGGTATCAATGTGTGTGGCTGATGATCAGTAGCATGATAAAACAATTAAAGCCAATGTGTGAGTCATATTTCAGGGTTCTTCTTACCCTCTCAAAGTCCCTCATTGGGTTGTCTAGGCTGAGGTTCAACAGGTTCCCCAGTATCGGTTATGGAGGAGGTCCTGGAGGAAAGTTCTTTGGTCTCATTTGAGACAGAGAATGAAGAAGAAAACAGAGGTGCATAGCAGGATGAAGGAAACAAACATGGTGCAATGGATTAAGCTGATTTAAAATGGAATCCTGTATCGCTGGCTTTTACAAGGGTAGCTCAACTTTCAGCCCTGCCTCTTCTGGCTGTTTAAATGTAAATGAAGAAAGCAGAAGCATGTTAAGACAAGTGGAAAGACACAACTGAGCAAGTATGAGCATTGTTTGTGACAGTTTTCCCTTTCCCTATTTGCTGCTGCTCTGTTTTCTGTCAGGCAGCGTAATCGGCAGCTTAATCAGCAGCATGGGACACAACCGTGCTAGCATGCATGTTATATTTCTCTGCATTCCATTTTACAAACAGCAAACTGCACAGGCTCTGAAAACCTTTACCATAAGCATTTTAACTTAGGATTTCTAAGGCCTGACTTTGACCACTGCATAGAGTGCCACAAAATGTGCATACCAACACTAAATGGGACATTAAGAGAACAAACAAGTTATCCACATTCTTGCCTGACTTGCCAGAAAAGGTCTCAAGCCAGTTTAAAATGGTGCATGTTGTTATAGAAATTTGACTTTAATCGAATTATCCAACCCCGTCTACTAATGTTTTGAGAGAAATATAATGCTGCCAGAGTTACACAAAAAAAGAGCCAAAAGTTCAAATAAAACTTCTGCCATTTGTTTTTCCAGGTTAGGCAAAAATCAGGGTTTAATATTTAAAAGGCTGACAGTGACTCTAAACAGGACACCAGGGGGCTTGATTGGTAACCACAGTATATTTTTGCCCTGGGGCCCCATAACAGGTCAATCCGGCCCTGCCTGTCTGACTTACATGTCTGCATTTTAAAAGAGCAACCCAAAACCTCTCAATAATATCCCGCGAGCTGTGGCTTATTATCTGTCACTGAGTGCCTTGGCTCTCACTAAGTCCCAAATTTACTGTTGTGGCTAGGTGGCGTGAAATGAACAAAAGGGCAAAAAGAAAACTGCTGCTTAAGGGAGCTAATTAAGTGATAATGTACTTCTTGTTATTCAGTAGAGGCCACTTCAATAACAGCAATCTGCAGCACAGGAATGGTTTTAGGGAGGTTACCAGATTTGCTTTTCTTATCTGATTTATTGAAAGAAAGAATCACAACCAAAATGTTTTATTAAAATAAAATTATTCACTTATCAAATTCTGTCCTCACAAGGCCAGAGGGCATTTGTTTTCAAGTGTTGGATTCAATATATGGCAGCATTTCACATTTTGCGTCACTGGAGGGCAGCATGAATTCAAACTACAGTGCTGGTGAAGAGACTGCAGCACAATGGACTGGATCAAACAACAATAGTTACAATAAAGTGCTTTGAAAAGTTACATTATCTTCAATGTTGCAGTCATTTATAATTTCAATAACACTGATCTGAACAGCCATAACTGTCAGGCATAAAAGAATCACATTTGAGAGTCAATGAGTAAAACACGGAAACATAAGAACAAATAAACTATCAAATAATTTCCTCTTTATAAAGAAACTAACTTTATATATAATTATGTATGAAAATGTACATAAATTCATTTGATATTGCATTGGGGGATAACAAGAAAATGACATTATAATATGACTTGTAATAGGAATTAGGCACTGATGGATTTTAATCACAAAAATAAATGGAAATATAAAGGAATTCCAATACAACACTGATTATTCAATATTTGTATCTATTACAAAAAAATAGCACTGAACAAAATATATAATTCAAGAAGCCACTTCCTTATAGCTCCACTTTACATTAACAGAACGTTTAACAATCTATCCAAACCATACAGTACAGAGTTTCAATGACCGCGAGTGTAACTCAGTCCAGCTTTGGCTTTTACACTAAACACTGGTTATATGAAGGAGGTGAGACACCATTAGACCTGCTGTGATCTGATGAAAACCCCCTGTGGTCACCCTTATGACAGTCAGGGTGCAGCACTCAGTAAATAGGTGATATATGAAGCCAGGAGCTTTTGTTGTCACCTTCAAAGAGACCACAAGAGGAGGAAGATCAAGAGCTATCCATTTGCACAGAGACCAGCCCCTCAGCTATAGAGCAGCAGATGCAACGGTGATGCTGCTGATTTACTGTGGGAGTCTCCTCACAATCATATGTATCAAGTAGTCCAGAGATTTCACGAAAATAAACTGGAAACATTTCAGGAACAAGTTAATTGAACATTACAGCAGCTCCACTGAAGATACTGTCTATGATTGACATGTGTCACAGTGGTAGTTGGTGTCTGATTCACATTAATCTGAGCTTTGATCAAGGTGAAACCAAAGCCACAGCAAGTAGAGAGCAGATATCCTGAAGGGCAACAGGCAACACTGCTCCTTTACAGAGCTCCGCTGTGCTCTATTTGTGGTGGCAGCGTATGTTAAGGTTTGTATTCCTCCTAAGCTCAGTGAGGCCCTGAAATAGAGTGACAAGCCGTCTCCATAAATACAGAGCCCCTATGGGGAAACATAATTGCTTTGTGAGCCTATGTCGGATTTAGGGGCCTTCATAGTGTCCTTCACTTCTGACGGAGAAATCCTATTCCATTCCATGAGCTTGATAACAGCACCTTAGCCAGGTTATTGCCTTTCATTTTCGCCCTGACCTTCTTATTCCAAAAGGTCACCCAAGCACAGGGCCTAGAGGCTACCCATGTCCTTTGACCCCATTGACCCAAACACAAAAGACAAGGGGTCAGTGTTGGTATCCTATAGTGTGACTGTGGTGGAAGGTGGGGGGATGTATATGTTGGACAGGTCAAGGCCTGTCTTTGTTTATGGACAGTGTGTCCGGGAAGGTGGGGGTAAAGTCAACAAGGAAAGAAACAGGTGGGCTGCACTCTTTTAGATTTTCTCGAGGTTGTGGTTCTTCAAGGACGCTGAAGGCTAGAGTGTCCTGGCATTCTTGACTTGAATTTTTCTTGTTTTGCATTGTTCTGCTGGCGCTCCTCAAAGGTAATGTGATCTGATGGCGTGATAAAATCACAGCAAATGTAATTATGTCTCATGTGAACGCACTGCCGTTTTGAATTCTCCTCAAGAGAGAGTGCAGTCTGCATTGTACAATGAGGTAGAGAGCGTGGCAGGATGTCAGCTCCAACAGTTGTTCACACTGTGTAAGCCTTGGGGTATCTTTGTGTCTGTTTCTCATATTGCTCCCACACCTATTTGTCCCATTCTTGTGTTCCAAAAAAACCTGGAAAATAAATCAATCCAATCCTCTCTAAGTCACACCCACTCTGCTCTTTTCTCTTGCCCATCATCAATGGTCTGTAGCTCTGCATTGCTACCCAGCTCAACCAGCGTGTACTGACCCAGCCTTCTGGTACAGATTGCTGTTGCTGTGGAAACGTCCCCAATGGGCCCAGCTGACCCCCCGGGGGATGACCCAAGGTTCCGTCTGGGCGGAGGTGGTGGTTTTAGTCGACTGCGTTTGCTAACACGAATGGATCTCGGTGTCCCTATCGGCTCAGGGGGGCAGAGAGCCACATCACTGCCATTCCTCTCTGGAGCCTCCTCTTGGGAAACATAGTAGCCGTTGTTCCCGTTTGTGTTGCACCCGGGAGGTCCTGGAGAGCATGGAAGAGGAGGATCCTGACCTAAAGCAAGAACTCCCCCTCCACAAGAGCCCTTGCTGCCTCGCCTCTTCCGAAAACTCCCTGTCTGACCAGCCTCAACCTCTAAATCCTGCTGAGCAATTGGGTCTGTTGCTCTGGAGGCTCCTCCAGCTGAAAGGAAACACTGTTCTTCTTCGTAAATCTTCTCCACCATCATCTTCCTCTTGCTCTTCTGCATCACAGAGCGCTTGATGGCGCAAAAGAAATCCAACACATTTAGGAAAAGGGACAGAGCAGCCACAGCAAGCATGAAGTTGAGCATCACGGTCTTCTCAGTGGGCCTGGAGATGTAGCAGTCCACCTGGGTAGTGCACGGTGGATGCTGACACAGGAACCTCCTGGGGATGTAGAAACCAAAAAGATAGTAGTGAGCTGCCCCAAACCCTGCCTCCAGCAATGTCCTGAACATCAGATGGAGAATGTAGGCTCCTGTGAAGCAGCGGGCCAATCCTCGCTCAGCCACCAGAGGCATCTTGTTTACAGATGTCTTGTTGAATGGCTCCTGGTGGATCTTGAAAAGCGGCAATGCTTTGACGTGACCCGAGGAGTTCAGGTCCACAGTGAGGCCATTTGAGACCTTATGGACCACGTAGATAATAAAGATGATGTAGGGGAGACACGAGGTGATCAACTGCACCAGCCAGAACCGAAAAAGAGAGATGGGAGAAAACACATCATAGCACACATTGGCGCAGCCGGGCTGAATGGTGTTACACACAAATCTCTCCTGCTCGTCCTGGTAGAGGGGATAACCAGCAAAGAGGAGGATCAGGATACGGAGGAAGATCATCACAATGAGCCACACCTTCCCTGAAAAATAAGCACACTGGCATTAAAAAATTTGCTTATTTGACAATACGAATTAAGCTGTGTGGTGTAGCAAATTTTGCATAAATCAGCAAACAGTGCATGTTTGAGAGCCCAAATATTTCACTGCACACAAACATAATACAGAACTCTATCTACATTGGCCAGACACCAATCAATGTGTCAGTGAAGTCAACTCACCCATCAAAGTGATGCTGTGACTGACAGAGATAAAGATGACCTCAGAGGCACTTGCTCCCACCATGCTTGCTGTGCTCAAGGCCCTCCAAACTCTTCTAAGCTTCCAGGCTAAGAAAACCCTCAAGCCAGTGCCACTCTCCCTATTCAGCCCCTTCTCCTCCACCCTTTCTATTAAGGGGCACAGTGGTTTCCAGTAGCACAATAACCTCCAGGTTGACCGACACTAAGCTCCGTCAGCAGTCAGACCCTCTCTCTCCAACTATGTGCCAGGTTCTGGTAGGTAAAATCCAATCAGATCCATTAGAGTCACCCAAGCCTCTGAAAGGCTGAAGTAAACCATGCAAATCACCTCTACCTCTGTCCCCTGCAGACAACTGTCTGTTCTCAGACAACAGAAGACAGGAGCGAGCCCCATTGTGGGTCTATTCTTAACACACTTCCAAAGGCACGTCCCCATCCTGGCATTGCAGAGATATTTTGGTGCTGCTGGTCGTCCTTACAGGAGGGTAACAAGCCTTCTGGCTTACTCATTCGAAATTGCTGTATTAAGTTCTCAAGCACAATGGCAGGCATGTTTAAACTGGCTTCTCCATAAAAATACAAGCACTTACTGCTGTGTCTTCCAGCGATGAAGATGAATGAATCAAGATAACATGTAGATATGCAGACTGTGGATTAGCTCCTATGAAATGTAAGTAGGTTGTAAATGGTAGTTTCCCACAGCTCATGCAAGTTTATGACTGATAAGGACCTACTATATAGTCATTTAATATGGATATGAAATAAAACAGTTTAATTACTAACCCAAGGTACAACAGAAGTTCATATTATGACCAAGAACCTGACTTACACTGTTCATTTTTTTAATAAAATGAGATTTATTCTAAACTTTATATTGACTTCCCTCCTCTACTTCAAATGCACATCATAGTGCAGATGTCCCTCATGAAAAGATTTTACAGAGGACAAATCAGTTCCTTCTTACACACTGCATCCATCCTCACTCATGGACAAGGTCTCTGGTGGGACACATAGCTAAAGCTCGGCTTGGCTCCTAATCACTACAGATCAATGGGCATTAGCACTTCCATACTGGCTCACAGTAAGAATCCCACGTGGCTCATTTTGAATCAATGGCAAGGCTTGTTGAAAGTAGATAGTGTGTGAAATTTTGACATGGTAACACAGGACAAAAAATGACTTACACCTGCAATTCATTTAAATGGGCGGTGTAGTGCTGACATTCCATAGGAGGGCAGTATGTCGTTTGGCATTGGGGAAAGTTGGATCGGGGGAACAAGTGAGGGCAGAATTTTATTAACAGATGTGATGATAGACCACACAGTTTTAAAGAAGCCTACAAAGTTAAGCAAAACAACTCAAAATTGAAGCTGAACTAAAACCCCAAAATGAAAGCCACAGCCTTACAGCAAACTGCTCCCCTCACTCCCACTACAGAGTGACTGCCACGGCTTCATTTAAACTGGAACGTATCATCTGCTTAGGTTAACACAGGGTGAGCTAAACAGGGGCAACCGTTCCAAGAACAGTCCATAAAAGTAAATGACTAATTTAAGATACCTTATAACAGCAACATGTGAAGTTGGCTATTAGCACAAACAACTTTAATACATCTTCATTTCGATGGATTTGATCCTCAATATGACCTTTTTTGGCTTATATTATTGTCTCTCCTGCAGCAGAGCTTTTACATATTGATTACAGTTACTGAATTCAGTGTTAAGTAATGAGATAAACCCTGTTTTTATTTGAAACGTATCACCTGCTGTCTTCAGTTTGTAACTTCAAAATCCTCCTGTTTACATTCAAGGCCATCCACAACCTTTCCCCTCCTTATCTGTCTGAACTCCTCCACATCGCCATCCCTTCACGTTCCCTCAGATCTGCCTCCTCTGTCAACCGCTCTGTCCCTCCAGCAGGGCTTTCAGCCTCTCTGCCCCCCAACTCTGAAACTCACTCCCACCAGACCTCAGGAACCTGGACTCTCTCACACTCTTCAAATCAGGACTAAAAACTCACCTATTCAGAACTGCATACCCCACTTAATTCTCTACATTGTCTTTTTTATCTGTTTCTTATTTCTTACTGTTTTTACTTTTTATGTGTTGTACAGTGTCCTCGAGTGCCCAGAGAGGCACCTTTAAATAAAATGTATTATTATTATTTTTATTATTATTAATAATAAATAATCACTCTTCATTGTGAAACAAAGCAAGGACGCAAGAAGTCTTTGTCCTTGCTCTGCCTCCGTCTCATTTGCTTCTACTCATTTTTGTCACAGATGGAAGCTGCCTCAAAGTCAGAGGAAATGTAATCATAGTTTCCGTAAAGAATCTGAGCCTTCGTTTATTTTCAGGGAGGAATATCTGCCTTTCAGCTCGCGGATTACTATGTCTGTAATAGAGCCCGAATGCCCTTCATGGCTGTGTTTGAGCCCCCCTCCCCTTTCTTTTTGACTCCAACTTCAGCAATGCCATTTCCATACATACTAACTATGCTTTGATTTCAGACCCTCATCCATCAGCTTCTACTTGGGGGAGATTTCTCGCCTAAGTCATTGCCTGAGCATCCACCTGATCCTGCAGCTGTTTCCCGTTTCTCTATAAGCAATGGGGGATTAGCATAATCATAAAATTAGTTTCTGTTTCTGTGCTTAAAAAGCCTATCCCTTGTATCAATGCCTCCCCACAAAATTTAAGAAGGCTTTCATAAGTGAACAAACTGCACCAGGGGGCAGGAAGACAGTGATTAAACAGGAAACTAATGATCCTTTTCAGCATTTTCTCTCTATCGGGGTCGTTCTTTTTTCATGATCAAATTCATCACCCAAGGACCACAGGAAAGCCTTTGAGACTTCACAAATCACAAGATTTATAGGATGTGGGTGGCAGATTCTTTTTTTCTTCTACAGTGGAACACTGTAATGCTGCAGTCTTAAGGGATCAGACATGGTTTCATCATCTTAAAGCTGCACTAAACAAGATTTTTATATGAACAATGACAGTGTGTAATATGACAGGAGTCACACACTGTTGCTGTACGCTACCCAAAGTTAGCAAATAGTTTATCAAAAGAGTGGAATATGTTTTGGAGGAGAGTTAAAGGGAGAATTAATATTGGACTTACATTTGCCAGGTGGCCAAAAACACAATTCCAAAGGCTAATGTTCAGCCCTTCTAGGATTTTGTGGGTTTTTTGGGGATTTTTGAGGCCTAAAATGTCTGATTTGACAGCAGTGTTTCTAAAACTTTGCGATGCAGGTGGCAATGTTTTGAGGTATTTTTGTGCTAGGAAATTACAGGAGAGGTGAGAATGGCATAATGTATAATATGTATGTATAATTCATTAAAATGTTTGCCAACTTGTTCCAGTGAGGATAAAATCACTCTTTGCGTCGTACACGTCTGCATCTTCACAACAAGAAACAAGAAAGTTTGGTGACACATGGCTCAAAGTTTTGAGCAGGAAACTACAATGATTGGTCATATTAGCAGAACAGTGATTGGATAAAATTGCAAGGCAGAATTCACAGGGATTGGTTGAATTTGTGTTAATTGTTGCGATCGCAAACTCGCAACTCCCTGGAGAGACTGAACCATGTCTGTGGGAGATGTAAATTGGCTACTGCTAGAATTTATTTGGTGAGCTACAAAATATTGTCAATAACACCAGCATGCTGCATATTTAGCATCTCTAAAGAAATTTGGCTGAACAACAAACACTTATTTTGTACATTGATAGCAGTTACCCATTTCTATTAGGCCTCTTTATCTGTGCTTTACTATGCTGTAAGGCCTAACCAACTGTTGGGTACATCCACCACATGCAACCAATGGATTGTTTGCATGCACTCCCTAGTGTTTGGTTTCATCATTTTTAAGAGAGGGTCCTCACTCAGACTGGATCTGGACCACATTGCATGGAGTATGAAGCTGGACTGTTCATTAAGCCGACAGATGTTGTCTGAAATGTGAGTTTGTGAGTCTGTGTACATTTTTAATGTACATGTTTGATGTATTTCATAAGAGACGTTTGGCAATCGCCCTCTCTAAAGCTCACAGCACCTCTTCACTGCATTCAATGGACTTGTATAGCAATTACCAGAGCAGCGATTGAAATGCAAATCAAGGCTAATACGGGAGGATTAAATGTGTCCCTCAGTGACAATATGGCTGAGTGTAATCTCTGTATTACCACTTGCTCTAAGCCATTTAAATGGTTCTTTCTGGGAGAAGAAACCCTGCTGAGTCACATTGGTTGTACAATACAGAACATATCGAAATATTGTGATAGCAGTGTGTAAAGCACTCGTGAGGACACCATGAATTATTGTTTAAGGAAGTGTGTTTGTATTGCTATTACCTCTTCCACTTTGGGTGAACTGATCCTTTAGATTAAACAAGAGACAGGCACTGGGTTTATTGCAAGGTTTTAAAGTTTAATTCTTGCACAGGGTTTTCTAAACATTGCTTCAGAGAGAAGAATTGGGAGAAGTTCTATAAATCATAGCTGAAAACATACAGAGGAAAAGAGAACCAAGATAGAGAGATATGAGTTTGGCAAACTGAGAACAGGAACAGAATGACTGACTCACTGAAAGGAAAATAATACACTGACAATAACAACACAACAGAATACAGTACAACTTAAAAAAAAACAGGTCACAGCTACAGCAGTTGACTGATGTTAGCACGGGAAATCGTCATGATCAAAGCTGAATTTGTGAAATTCAAAAATTGTCGTCAAAGAGAGGGAAAAAAAAATCAAGAGAAAAGTAAAACTCTATGCAGAGGTAGAGTTCAGTGCACAAGGCTATGACACACACCTAGTAACCAGCCGACAGGACACCACAGACCCAAGGTCTTCGCTGTCGGAGTCAACTTCCCACTTCAGGACTCACCATAGTTTGACCTCACGGCATCAACGCTATCAACGCTTACTTCTGGGTCTAAGAAAACACCAGACTGGGCTGTATGCACACACATACAATAAATAGGATATACAATCTTTGAACACCTCTAACAGTTTGAACTCACAACAGCAACTCCAGTAACGTTACTTTCCTAAGGACACATTTTTGCACTTTATTTTTCACTCATTCAAAGCACCATGCAAAACAACTGTTCTCTTCCCAAGTCCCAACACCCTTTTCATATACTTCATGTGCACGAGCAACAGGATCGACCTTCATTTCGCCTTTGGTACGGTTCTGTCCCTCCTCACACCTGCTGCTCAGGGTCTCACTGACCTGACCGACCTGACTGATTCTCTAGTAGCTTGACCAACAACAGAACTTAAATTCCAGACGTGGTCGTTGCCAATGAAATGTACAAAATAACCTATAGCATTAAAGGAGGGTACACTGGTGTCACATTTGTAATGAAGAAAAATGCATCTAAAAAAACTATTTTCATGTCTTTTTTTAGACACCTCCAGGTTATGTCACAATATTTTGATACATACTGTTTACTGCCTATTCAGTCATGTAATTGAGGAAAGTGTGAGTCCAGTTGATCATAAGGCAAACAACCACTATTACGTTTTTTATACTAGAAGCATTACTTCACACTTCTATCAACCCATTCAAGTGTGAAAACTAGAATGAAGTAACCCAATGAAACTCAGTGATTTAATAGGCTTACCCTCGACTACATCCCTGTATATATCCGATTTAAGAAAAGAACAAATCAGGAAGTGATCTGTTCATGAAAAAACTGACAGTTTCATTTATTTCCAGTAAATGCAAGAAACTGCAGAGCACCAAAACTGCCAATAGGTTATAAAAGGTTTCAGAAAATTTAAAGATAGTACTGAACACATCATTCTTTACCGCCAATCAGTTCATACAGTAAATCAATTGAATTTATTTTACCCGTCTATTTATCTCAGCTCCTTAATTTTCCTGTATTTTTGGCCTTCGCATACATTTAATAATTTATTTGTTCACTACGAATGTATGTGTGTAACATCAGTGGAGCTATTTAGATGATGGTGTGGCGACTATTCTTAACTGAAAACACTAGTGCCAGAATCACGGCTGTATTAAGAGGTTGGTTATTACTCTTTGTATCATGAATGTTTAATTTATGGATGTTTCATATTGGTGAAGTCTATGGGCCGAGCAAAAACACGAGGCCAGTGGCAGAAACACTAATGATAATGACACACTGATGTGCACATGCAGTGGGTCGCACCATACGCAAGCAAACCCTGAAGATGGAAAACTATTTTGGCTCATGTGCTAGGCGGGCAATTTTGAGTGGGTGGCATCTTTGAGTATCTAGGTCCTTCAATACATCCATGCAGTGAGCACTAGTCTTTTCAGCTAGCTACACAGATGAAGCTAAATCTCTTTCTCAAACTAGGACCAGCCAGTGCACATATTCATCATCCATAAACATTACTGCTGTAGAATCCCTGTATAAACTCTTGTAACAGCATTTTAGCCATCAACCAAACGCTGACAAAGTTAGGTTACTAATGCTATTTGGAAGCAAAAAAACTGTAGTGAGTAAAAGGAAATGTTGCTTGGGGAAAATAGCGGGCAGATAAATTATTTATTGTGTGCCAAGGCCAAAACAGTAGGGAAATGAATGAGCTCAAACATAATAAAATGAGCAACTGAAAGATAAATAGGAGCAAAATAAAGTTGTTTTTACTTTATCATCTGATAAGAATCTGGCAACGCTTCCACAGAGTGGGGTTAAAAAAATCTTCAAAAATGACAAATCATATAATAAGCCTGAATTGTCTTGTATTATCTATATACCATATACAGTATGTAACACATAAAAACTTGGCATTTTCTGCAGAGTGAAAACATCCTAACAAGAAAACAGACAAAAAATCTTAAGTGGTGTCTCCCATTTATATCATAATACTCCACCTTTGTCTTTACTTGATTTGTCATAGGTACAAGGAATCCAACATATTTACTGCCGCCCTCCTGTCCAGTAAAAACTGATCCAATATAAATATTCTAACATCATTCTGTTTTTTTACAGTACGACCTTAGTCTACAGGTTTTGCACACTGGCGCTGTATTTACACTGTACAGAGACAATTTAGCAAAATGTATACAATCTATCTTTTTGTAAGCAGAGTTTGAATTGTCGCTTAATGCTTTTTCATTCATTTCGGTCCTCTCCAGAACAAAAAACAACCCTGAAGAATCATGCTTTTAGTGGCCCCTAAATGTAAATATTCCATTGTGCTGTTTCTTTATAAGCTGGAAGAACCATAGAAAATGTTAAGGAAAAAAAAATACTTCAGTTATTTGTTCTGTTCCTCCAGTAGAGAGGGGAGAAGTGTTAAACTAGCTTATTACAGGCACCACAGGTCAGGACAATGGCAGTGAGTTAAGTACAACATAAGCTCTACAGTATGTCTCAAATGTGACTGAGAGTAGTGAACCTCTGTCTTCCAGTCAGTCTTCTCCCGAGTATGCACGCTTCATTGTATTTGATCACAACAACAAAGCAATGCATGAATATTGCTTTAAGTGAATAGCTGTATTTGAATGGTGGCTGGATGGCCTTGCTGCGAGAGAAGCTGTTCTGTATCTGGAACAGTACGCGTTGAATTCCCAGGTGCTGTCGAAGCGTCTTTGAGCTAAACACTGACTTGCTTTTTCAGCGTTAGCTCTTTGAACGAGAGAGTTAAATGGCTACAATGTAAATGAATACCTTGTGGAATAATTTGCAGAGGAGTATGATATGTAGTCCAGTCAAATCTATTACCTGTACATTTAAGTGAACGGTGGAATGTACATGTCTTTCCTTTGTGTATGCTTGGATTCATTAGCAGAGGGTTCTGCTGGATGGGAATGCAACATAACAGATAAACACCAACAAAACATTAACACAAATTGAGGAATTGAGCATTTTAAAATGTGCCTGTAAGCTGTCCAAAAAAAATCTCATGCTTCAGCTCAGAAACTAAAGCAGGAGATTCAAATTAAAGGAATGTACACGGCCTCCCTCAATCAACCGTACAAGCCAGTCGAGCCTAAGAGGGAATTATGGAACGTTGTTGCCAATCTGTTATATTCCGCATTAATATCTTCTTTTTCCAACTTCACACAGTCTCTCATATTGCCGGCTGTAATTCTGTGCGGCCTCTTCTTTCTTCTGCAGTCGAGCTCGTCATTCCAACAACTTTCACTCACACACTTCCGTTTGGTTCAGCTCAGCTCTGTTTGGTTCAGTTCAGGCAGCCAGTGGGACTTCTTTTATGTACAATGATCAGAGAGTTTGCAATCACTTGTACAAGTGCCAGATTGTGCTGTGTGTGTGTGTGTGTGTGTGTGTGTGTGTGTGTGTGTGTGTGTGTGTGTGTGTGTGTGTGTGTGTGTGTGTGTGTGTGTGTGTGTTATGTGTGTGTATTCCAGACAGACCCACTGATCCACAGGACTGCTGCCCACCTGGTCTGCCTGCTTACCAGGCAGAAATACAGTACAGTATGTCTGACAGGTCTATCCCCGTGCTCCAGGCGGCCAGTGTTAGGAAATGATGGCCGGACACCACCGCACCACCGTCAGGTTGTCTGCGCTCACCGACCGCTTCTTGGCTTGTTTCCTCAAGTCCTTGTATTTGTCATCACACAACCGCGAGATGGCCTGAAAGTCAAAACACAGCAGAAATGAGATGGAGATGGCGAGGACTCCTCTTCAGCTTTATTTAGAGTAATTGGAACAGATCTTTGTCAGCGTGTGTACAATATGAGAGGCAGAAACTCACAGGAAATATTTAAAAAACACAAGGAGACAAGAGTGCTGTCATCTGGAAGCGAGATAATTAGGCTTTAAAATCCCAGCGTTTTGGCTGGAGGGTCACTCGCTCAATTATTTTGTCCTGTCTTATGTGATTATTGGCTTAGTATTCAGATGGTTTTCTTGAGTATTTCAAAGAGAGATCCAACCACATTCATTCTTGGCAATCTATTTCTTTCAAGTTATACATATGCCGTTTTTTTACTTCAACTCTCAAATTGAAAATCATCAGATGTTTTTAGAAATGGTTAAACAAGTGTTTTGGATATTTGGGGAGCCTATTTTTTATGGACAGAGTCCACTCTGTTTTGTCTTGTGTGTATTTGTGTATATGTTCTTTTCATCTCACGTTTACCCTATTATAACTTTGCTGTCAAAATGGAAAGCAAAATGTTAAACCCACAAAAATTGTTCAACATGATCAACTACAGTGTGAACATAAACAAACTGATCACACCAAATAAATCTGAAATAAAGAAAATAGTACAAACTGGCCTCGCTCTCGTTAGTTTTGTTGCCCCACTTACTGCTGCTAAGATTTGTTTCAAACACTAACCACAGTAAGGCAGATAGGGAGGGAGAGACAGATGTTGAGGCGGTGGAGTTAATTACTCAGCAACACCTACATCCTGTCCTTCACCCAGCAGATGATCTGCAGTCAGTGCTTGGAGTGCATGTGCCGAGGCACTTCAAAATACTAATTACTGGGCTAGCCTCGGTTCATTGTATCCCACATGTTCAGGCCACAGCAAATTGGGCTCAGATTTCCAGATTTTTTTCTAATCTTTTTGTATGACCTGAACTTCAAAATCAAAATCCATTCCCATTTTTGTTTTGTATGTGTACAAGTCACCTCTAGTTTCTGGGCCTTGTCCCTGCTGAGGGGTTCCAGGGGAAAGCTGAGGTTGTTGGCCTCAGCCATTGAGCGCAGGTCAAAGTAATACTTGGCGTAGACACTGGACGGCACGTTGATGTTGAACTGCAGCAGCTCCAGAAACTGACGCTCCAGCTCATTCCTTTTGTCAGAGAGAGAGAGAGAGAGAGGATGTGTGAGTTGAGAGGTGAGCCTTTCTGACAAGCTTTAAACAAATCTGATATTTAGCTTGGAACCAGACTTGCTTGAGATTGAAATAAGGTTAAACACATTGGTGAAATTGAATTCTCTCTCTACAAATAAATTCTGTATAGAGACACTGAAGAGGAGACACAGAGACTAGAGAGTGAGTCCTCAGGAGACCATCCTGGCAAATCCATCACCTCACACAGACGGTGGGTGTTATTTTCACATGCACAGCGCCAGAACACATACACCAAGTAAATCCCCAGCACACCCACCACCAAACCTAAAACATAAGCCTTTCCTCATCCTGAAAGCGAGTGATATCTTAGCAAAAATGGCTCTGAGCATTATGTATAAAAAAGAATATTAATCCCACATCCTGAAAATGCCATTCATCTTGCACACAGCTCTGTGATCTCTTCTGCAACGCGCTGACAGACGCTTTCATCTGTTTGTCTTCAGTCTTGACCGATTCATTCTGCATTGTAACCTGCATAAGAAGCACTATCCATCTCTTCTCCCTAGCCTTTGTTCCCCACCCACGCACATTTACAGGCATGCAGCAACAGACGAGCTAAATTTAGACTCCGCTGTAGCCAAACTCTGCCTAATAATGCTGCTTCTTTTTTATCTCGCCGTGGCACTCATTCAGTTATTCTCATCCATTTCTTTGTGTTTCTCCGCTCCTCACAATTCTTCCCAGACTCCCTTGCAGTTATTTTATCGTTAAACTTGAGTCTTTTGGGGGTGGAAAGTGGAATTTAGCAGGCTAGGTTCCTGAGCACGGATTTATAAAAGACTAAAATTGATCTTCAGAGGAAATCTCCAGTCAAGCACTGAGTCAGTGTCTGGTAAACTGCCATACGGGACCACAGCAGAACTACATGCTGGGCTCCTCACACGGGAGCAAGTCCCAAACAGGTGGATTACAGTCACTGCTCTGTAAAATCTGAGCCCAAGGACAAGAATATACAAGCCCCTGGTGCAGAATAGTGTGAATGCAGCGGAGGTCAGAGGTCGCGGCAGTGGCAACACGTCTGCAGCATCATGTTCCCCCTCAGAATAAGCCAGCCAAGATTCCTGTGGCTTTAAGATGGATGTGGTATATAGGACAGAGGGGTGGGTCCTCATGCTCAAGATTCCCTGCTTTACACTTGGCATTGTTTGTTTAATTTGTAATTGAAGATGATGTTGTCTTACGGTAATAAAGAAGAGGGAAAAATATCCAATCTATTGCCTCATACATCTGAACCTTTTTAATCAAACCTGTGTAAAAGCCAAGTATCTCTTGCTGTCAGCTTGTTATGAACTAATAAACCAGCCTGTTATGGCCTATATGCATACATCTTGCTCTAAGGGAGACAACATCGAATTAAGTGAAAATACTTTATCATAAGGCTGATGTATTTAAGTGAGCCAACCTATGGTACCGTAGACAAATCCAAGAGCCACAACAAAAGACAGTCAAAGGTGTCAGACAAATTGGGTGGCTGTGCTAAGCATGTACAGACCACCATACATGTGACTCCCAACAAACACAGACCATTCTCAGCACGGAACAACCCTGAATGAGTGAAGATGGGTACGGTAGTAGTAGTAGTAAGAGGACAGCCATGCTTTAATTTCTATGGAGAGCTGAATTAATGGATTTAATTTTTACAACATTTTCAACAAAAAAAGACAAATATGAACATTTGCTGGGGGTTGTTTTGTTTTCTATGACAATGAAATAAATATTTTTGAGGGACTGTTCATCAAACTACTATGAAGATGCTTTAGACCGAACACTCTTTGGTTCTTTGCCTCACTGAATTTATTTTTTTTTATATCTAGCAACAACCAGAGCAAAAATTTGAGAAAATATACTACAGTATGTGCTCCTGATGATTCTGCACCCCCCCACAGGAGGACACTGGTTTCATTTTGAGAGAGCTGCTGAAGTTTCCAAAGGACAGGAAAAGAAGTCAGGTGATTGGTGATGTGGCTCAGAGGCAGAGCGGGTCGTTCCTTAATCGGAAGGTTGTGGGTTCGATCCCCAGCTCCTGGTGCCACATGTCGAAGTATCCTTGAGCAAGATACTGAACCCCGAATTGCTCCCGATGCCGTGCATCAGTGTGTGTGAATGTGTATGAATGTTAGTTTCTGTTCGATGGACTTTGCCATCACTGAATGTGTGTGAAAGGGTGAATGTGGCACGTAGTGTAAAAGCGCTTTGAGTGGTCGGAAGACTAGAAAGGCGCTATACAAGTACAGGTCCATTTACCAATTTGGGCGGTAATAGGAGAAATAATGCATTGTCACAGTTTCCAACTATGTACCTGTTGTGCAGCACATTTCTGGCCAGAAAATTCCCAAAGTCAGTCATAAAAACAGATATTCAGATATATCAGATATTTTATCAGGACTTATAGGACTATTATTGGAGTAAGGTGCTCTGTGGTTTTTTAAAATGCTTGTATTGAAAATATTTTAAAAATCATCTCTGCAAATGTCTTATGAGGAAGGAAGTGCATTCAACACATATGTTAGACCTCAAGGATTCACACAATAGGTTTTGGTGAGTAACACTATAATTATTGGCATTCACACAAGCTTCGAACTCAAGTTATCAACTGTAACTGACAATTTATTTATCTGTTTTTATGTTCTCAGTAGATTATGCAATTAATATGAAGGCTATTGGTTATTAACTGTGAGTAAAATTTTATTTTCAGTGCAGTAATAATAGAACACATCTCCTGCCCTTCATAACACAGAAACATAATTATCTTGACAAATGCATGCTCAATAATTGTTGTAATGTAGGAGGAAATGGAACTGGTTAAAAATAAGACACTTCAGGAGCAAAATAGTGTAAATGAGCCACCTGTGTGTTAATAACCACTGGCTCCAGCTGTTAACATTTAGCATGGCTTAACTCACTCTATAGGCCTTTCTGTTATGTGCAGGGACTGCTGGTATATATAGTCTAACAGGGCTAAGCCCCCCCTATCTTTTACAGCAAAGATGAAAAACTATAATTAAAAACCCTAGAACATATTGTTTTGAATTTTGGTAGAACCTAGAGCAACAACAGCACCAAAAGGTGACAGAAAAACCCAGGATATATGATATATCTTGGGTTTTTTCCTGTGAATGGACTAAATGTATTCAGCCCAAGCACAGTAGCGTAAGCTTCCATTGACTTTTGATTGACAGGTGTCCTGACACGCCCCCTTCATATGCTGCCCATTTGGGCTAATTTCATTCAGCCCAAAGGCTCACCTTTGACCAATCACAGCGCAGTAGCTACAGTACAGTGACCTTCAACCAATCACAGCGCAGTAGCTACAGTACAGTGAGGCTAGTTCGTAGTATGGCGGGCGTTAGCATGAACATGAACAAGGTGGATTATTTACCTTCTAATCAATTTTCTTTAAAGTCTTTGGAGGAAAAAATGGAATTACAGCGATTGGGAAAGCATCATCCAAACGATGTACAAATAACACAAGAGGACAAAATCGTAGTTTTGTGTTACGTGGTTTCAGCGAAAGGACTGGCTAGGAATTCACTTTTCTGTTTCCCATGTTTGCTTTTTGGAGGAGACATGGCTTAGAAGTCAAAGGCTCACTTTGAGAAAGCCAGGCACTTGTTGTCTTTGCATGTGTACATTAGCCATTGATCTGCAGGGAGAAACTGAAAGGTGAGCTGATGGTGAGGTACAGCAGGGTGGACTTTGACATGAAGGCTGTCGATGTGAGCAGCATTTTAAATAAGGTATGCCCAAGCTCTAAAACAACTCTCTCCTCTACAAATAATTATTTTTGCTTTGGTTTTGTAGATTTATGGTGTTGCAAATTGTTGCTGGTACTTTTCTATAATGTAGTTGTAGCGCAATTGGCATGTTCTGATGTGTACAGAGGAGAGAGAGAGAGAGAGAGAGAGAGAGAGAGAGAGAGAGAGAGAGAGAGAGAGAGAGAGAGATTTTTTGGCATCAGGTCATTCTTTTGGGTATGTCTCCCAAGTGTTGGCGTAGAGCACTTGCTATAACAAAGTATACAATGTTGTTGCTGTAACTTGATGTGATGCTGCTGTTGCTGCTGTGTGACGTATTGATGAGTGTAATGCATTTGTTAGCCCACCCACCCAAAATCACCACCAGCCGTCACTGGTTATGTGTATTATCTTTCATATCAGTAAAATGCAATACATTGGCTGTGTCGCCAGCAAACTCACATGTCCTCCACAGTGATATCCTTGAGGATTTGGCAGTAGTCGACGTTCCAGACCGCCTGGTCATCCCAGACCTTGGATGCCAGGAGGATGGCTCCTAACACAATGCGCTTCCAGTTGGCAGGGCAAATGTCGATCTCAGCGTAGGTCAGGAGTCTCTCCAAATACACCTTGGACAAAGACATGAGTCGCATGTAAGATCCCTGTGGACTCAATATAATGAACACAATAATAAAACAACAACACAACAGAATCTTGTATTAATGTTTTATCCATTACTTATGTAATTAGCATGTCCTCACGTTTGTTTCAGTGTTTAATTAGCCTCTGCTCTCCCTGACTGCATTCATTTGCAGAGTTAGTTTGTTGCTTTCCTGTTTTGTAACCTCCTGCCTTCTCCTCCTCCTCCAGGTAAAAACCACAATAACAAGATGTCAGAAGCTGATGAAATCCAGCTTCCCTGGAGCTCGCTCATTAAAATATATATGTGGATCGAAACACTCCATCGCTCTGCCTCAGTCCCCAATCCAATTTCTATCTTTCTCAGAAGCCAGAATTCCCACAGTCTACAGATCACAAAGCACACTGAGCCTGCAGGCACCTGTTCCTTACAAGTTGGAATACTTGTACAGAAGCGGATTCTTCTGATCCATTGATCATCACTTTGTTAGAAAAAGAGAATGCATTCTATTTGATTTTATAGTCGCTGTCCAGCATGAAAGCAGCAGTGATCTGCTGCATAGAGACAACTACATGTCTAGCTTACTAATGGAAGCTACAATATACCTTTATAGCTTTCTCATAAGAGCTCATTTATCTCCCACTACACACTCCCAAATAATACAATACATGTGCAGTTTTAAACAGCCTCTCTCTGTAATAAGTACGCAAACATACACATGTCATCTTCTTAGTTTTCACCTTTTTGTACATATCTTGTTTTTTCAGCCTTTTTAAAATGTAGTTTTAGAGTTCAGTATGCATTTGGTAATTTTAATAGATATTTAACTTCAGTATACTTCAGTTTGTACCAGATATTGTCTAGTACAACAACAAATCTAATTTATTCTTACAGCAACTTCCCCCTGGCTGACTACATTTTCTATTTTCCATAAATAACATTTACTGCAGACTCAACTGAATTCAGACCAGTAACAGAAGCTTTAAGCTTTGAAAACTGTCATTTCAGATGACAAGTCTGAAAAAAAAACTGGTTTGAAGTGATGCTGTGTTTTTTTTTGGCAGAGTGGAATATACAGTGAATTCAAGTTATTATAATTCTGTCTGAATCTGCACAGTGGCAGAACTGTCAGCATTATGTGACTTAAAAACCTGAACAGAATCATAGAGGACTGCTGGAAAAGTAGAGATTATTTCCATCAATTACCAGACAAATAATCACACTTTGTGGTTCAGACAAATGAAGAGGCAGAGAGATGAGAGATGTTGCATTTTTGCCGTGTTTGACTTGACCACTAGCTCAGCTCAGGTGGATAATTGGACAAGTCATGTTGGGTTGGGCTTTGTGCCTACAGGCAATGCTAGCCTATGTCTGTTCTGGCCCAGAGCTCGCCAACAGACACCAAATATATATACTCATCTGGAAGCAGGCAGCAGCAACAGAACAGAAGAAAGCCTGCCTGAAATGAGAGCCAGACCACATGCAGAGCAATATGAATGCAACAGCACTGACAGAAAACAATACAAACAAGCACAACATAGAATCCAGAGGCAGTGTAGTTGGCAAACAGTAGCCCTGTGCAACCAGATTGAATGATTTCATTTGTGATTCTTGGGGCGATGTCACAGATGAGTTTCGGTACTAGACAGAGAAACTGGTCTCTAAACTCAGCTGAGCTAAACTCAGACTCATTTCTGAAACAACATGTTTTTATTTCACATTTCACATCTATTATTCATAACAATGGGAAGCCAAAACATCAAGCACTTGTTTTAAAGTTGGTGGTTCACTCGGTTAAATAGAGGAATCATTTAATGACCACATTACTGACTGGTGGTTGTTTGAACTACTATACACAGTTAGTCAGCATCCCAAGTTTAAACCTGTGGTGATTTAAACTAACCAGTAAAGCACAATCTGCTGGGATAATTGAGGGCCACTCAACAGGGCCAGTGTTAATAATATATAGCTACTGTCTTCCTGCTCTTCATGTATTATCTATAACCATTCAGTGTTGGGGAAGCTACTTTGAAAGCATAGCTTTGCAAGCTACCAATTACTACAGACTGGAGGAAGTTGAACTACAGCAAAGCTACCCTAGGGAGAGGTTTGGTTAACTAAAGCTGCTCAGAAAAAATAGTTTGAACTACTTTGGAAAAAAAATGATCAAATGAACAATGTACATGGAGCTAATCAGTGTCATGTACTTGCTGAGGTGTGACCATGGTGATTCTTCCTCATTTGGGAGGTTTATCCATGATGATGCTGTCGCTTTGCGAGCACTGAGCAACACCCGCCCTTTTGCAAATACACTACACAAAGGTCAAGTGTGTGGTGGTGGCTGGCTTATGAATGCATTGCCTGGGCTTGCTAACAGTGGTCAGGATGAAAGAAAAAAGGGTACGGGCTGGTCAGGAGTTAAAAAAAAAAAAAAAAAGCTAATTTCAGTCATTAACTACACAAAAAATGGCAAAAAGGTAATTCAACTATTTTAATCACTATGTAAATGTACAATTAGCTAGCAAGCTTATGCAAAATGTAGTAAAACTACTAATTTAATTACATGTAATTAATTATTCCCAGGCACAATTACCAGTGCAGGAATATCAAGTTAGTGTAGGTAGAGATTAAAATGTAGCAGCAGTTAAACATATCAGTCTAATATGGAAAATCTACGATTATGCTGAAAGAAGTTAATGTTTGTAAATATAAACTAGTAGTCTCTATTAGGTTTGTGTGTAACACACCAATGGATAATCTCTGCTCCCTGGAAATGGCTTTGGTAGAGTTTTACCTGTGGAGCTTTGTGTCATGTTCCTTGTACTTTCAACTGGAAATCTTGAGCAATGATTCATCTTCATAAAAGAAGACATGCAGACTTTTTAGGTCTCTGTCTTCTCCATCCCCCCCAAGAAGCCTTCCCTTTCCTATCCTAGGATGTAATGAGTGTGAAGGAAGATGCGCAGCTTCCATCTCAAACCCCCTGTCTAAAGTTAGCTATGTCAGCTAAACTCACCCCATAACCACCAGCCAACAGCCCTATTCAATTACTGATGGCGTGCCAGACTTTACTCCAGGGTACTGGAAGAGGCCGGCCATATGCCAGACTATGCTGTGTGTGAGCATGTGATTTTGACACATTTTTGTCAGAGTATGCCTCTACATGTATAAAGACACTCACTGATACTGTTCATCTGTGTGCTTGCTTTCCCATCACTGTCTGACCACAAGAGCTCACCAGCTTACCCATACATACAGTTCACACATGTGTGCATCTGTCAAGAAGTAGAGTAACTCAATACCAGGCCACCAGGCCAGCCATATTAACCCAGCACTTCCCAGCCTCTGGGGACACACGTATCGGTCAGAACGACAGAGTGTGGTTTCTGTTTCTGGGCAGATGAGTGGGGAGGGAAGGAGAGTTTATTCCCAAGTGAATGTGGACTGAAATAAGAAGTACAGTAGTGTAAATTAACCTCATTCTGTCTTAATTTAAGTGAGGATATTCATGTTTTCTAAAAAGAAACAAACGCTGAAGAAATAAAGAGTCAGTGGAGCAAAGAAAGAGAGAGAAATGAGATAGAGAAGGGGAAGTTCACATTTTTAATATAGATGAGCAGCTCCAGATGTAATAAATTGTGGTGATAGAACCTACTGTACAGTAAAGCACCAATTATATCCTCGCTACAGGAACAGATGTACTTCACACCAAAGTAATTCTGAAAGGAAATTGCACAGATCAAACTGATCTTGTTCCAATTTTCTTGTCTCTCCTGTGAGAATTTGTTAACTTTTGGTGACACAGTCTCCAGAGGGATGTACTGAGTGTTTCATATGATTCAAGATGAAGAAATGAGGTCCAAAAATAAACGGGGAAAATAGTATGAGGAAGGCAACAGAAAGAAGACAGCACATGGCATGAGAGAGGGCAGAAAGAGAACCAGGAAGCAACACTCCCTCCTGGTGTCTGCACTGAAACACACACACACACACACACACACACACACACACACACACACACACACACACACACACAGACACACACTTACCAATGTGACTATGGCACACTCAGCGGTGAGCTGCGCGGCACTGAACAGCGTCCTGACAAAGCGGTAGATCTGTTTCTGCTCTGGGTCGTGTTTATCGTAATCAGGAGGAATCTCCGACTTCTAGAACAGAAGATAACAAACAAAATGAAAATGAATATTTGATCTGATTGCTAACCAAAATGGAAACTCAAGCTGCTTACAAACGCTTTGGCTTACAAATGAACATTCATTTTGAATAGAGTTTGTAGGTTTTGGATATGGAGCATCAAGCAAAGGGGTTATGTAAATTTTTGGATCAAAACCCTGCAATTGTCAGGCAAAAAAAACTTTAATGAAAATACATATGAATGATCCAGATGGCTCCTGAGATTACTTGACAGATTTCCATATTTGATCCATGTGGGCTTATTTGCTGTTCATCAGCTTGTGTGGTTTGTCTTGCTGATGAATCCTGACAGCTCTACAGCACGCGCATAATGGAAATGTATCTTCAGTTAAGGCCTTACCGAGAGCGGATGCAGCTTCTCATCAAAAATATCTAACAACATTCTTCCATCAACGTCTCTGGAATGACAAACAGATAGGAAGAACATCAGATTATGACAGAAAAAAAAAACAGATGGCATGAGACTCATTTCATTTCAAACATGACTTCATCCTCTAAGATATTGCCTGTTCAATAATACATTTATGGGCATTCATGTGCATGTCAAACAGCTGCCCTACACTCAGTCAGACTCACCAAACTGCTGTTGTTGTCTGACTGAAATGTACATGTCCAAATCGATTCAGAATGAAGTAGATATTTATTAGGAATTAAGTCAAACGGCCATGTACACAACTTGTTTAACAGGTCTGAACCACTTTCATGAATTTTACATATAAGAAAATCTCTGAAATACCTGGAATGAGCCAATTAAGAATGAATCTGATCATTCGAGTGATTCTTACATGAGACCCGATGTCTTTACACACCTCAACAAGACATTTCTTTGCAGAATGATGCCCAGGGCACTCAGGCTTCATGTGGAGTCAGCCATTAGACAAAATGTCACAGGAACTACAGAGCTTGACATTTCAACACAAGCCTTGGGGGCCAAGTGATGACTTTTTGCCTGCTAATATTTAAGTTTGTCTGCTAATCCCTGGAGTTGATATTTGATGTAGGACTGTGGAATTTAGGAGTAGATAAGGGAAAAAAATGAAAATATTCACCATACCTGTTCTTTATGTGGTAGTATATTGCGAGGGCTACGCTGTAAAGACAAAAAAAAGTACATAAAATATTTCAAACTAAAAGGACAAAGAGCCAAAACATTTCAGTGTGAGATTAAATATCAGATAATGAGGTTAAAAGTGTGGTTACCATTTGATGGTGTATTTGAGGTTGGGCTGACTGACAGTGCTGTCATCAAGAAATATGGTGGAACATGAGCTGTACTTCCGTCTCACTGGGCCTGGATGATGCTGGGGTTCACACACACAAAGAGACACATACAAACAGACAGACACACACGTACACGTCAATCTCTATTTCTGTCATACTCAGACCAGCCAAAAGGCCTGCTGACAGCCATGGAAAGTAGGGCACCTGTAAGCCCACAAACTAATTCTGTCTGTCCTCTGTCAGTGCCTGACATGGTCGCATGCGGGGAATGGCATTTATGGTGGAGTGCATCTTCAAAGAAGCCCCAAACTTCCACTTAGTGACAAACTTATTTTTTGTCATTTTCTCCTGGCACACACTGAATCAGATTTGACCAATTCTGGCACTTGGGGTTGAGAGATGAGTGAAGGACAAAGATGAACTACATCATAGTGTGATGAAATTGCTGCTACTACTACGACTACTAGCACATCTAAATAATGACATTCAACTCCATCTTTTAGCTAATTACACACACACATGACTTTGACTATAAGTGGAATCTGTGGGGTTTGAAGAGAGAGGGACAATGATAAAAGGCTTGAATCATTTTAAGGGTCATTTTGAGGACTTTACCTTGTTCTCCGAAATGTGTGTGAACTTGCAAAAAATACAAGACATTAAAATCACCACTTGCATAATTATAATATTCATAATAATGTATAACTGACAATTAAATGATAAAATCAACTTAATGGTAAGATCCACTGCTGCCTTTTTAATGTATCATACACAACATCCTTTATCGTACTTACATGGTTGATGTAAAGGCTCTTCCGTTTTTCTCGAACTGAAAGGGAAGATGAGAGAACAGGTGTCAGTGCTGTAAGGCAGCAACATGCGCTTTAAGCTCAGTGTAGTACACAACCCTCACAGACAGGGAGCAGCATTTATCCAGGGTTTATAAGTTCCCTATCATTACAGAATTTGAGAAAAATATTGGATGAGCAGCTTTTTGTCTCTAATTATTCCACACTACATTAAACAAAGCATGTAAACGGCTTTCTTCCCCTGATACATTGGAAATTGTGTTCTAATGTGTGGGAATGAGTGTGATCAAATTACTTAATCCATTCATCAATCCATTCATTTTGGCCTACATTGGTCCAAATTAAATCAAGCACAGTGACTGTTTTATTTAAGAAGAGATTGTCATTCGAGCTATTCTCATTTTTATTATCTTCATACAATACTGCTCATTTGCAATGCTAATTCTGCTTAGTGGAGGTGATGATTTGTTAGTTTTATAGAGCTCACTTCACATGATATAAAACACACACTAAATACACAGCTGTGTGCCAGCGCTGTGTCTATATATGTGCATGTGTTCACTCTGATGCAGAAGAACACACAAGGGGGAAAAAGATTGCTGGCAAAGCAAACTGGAGCAGATGCAGAGCACAGCATCACACACACACATACACACACATACACATACACACACACACACACACACACACACACACACACACACACACACACACACACACACACACACACACACACACACACACACACACACACACACACACACACACACACACACACAGTGACGTAGTGAGCTGTCTGGCGCCTCTCATCCCTGCACTGTCTGTCTCTCACCTCTCTGACACACACACGCACACACACACACAGTAATGCACATGTTTCTCTGGGCAGTCGTGACTGTGTGCGCTGCTTTCTAGCAAAAAGCAGCCGGCTGTCAGGTCTTAATTACGGCTGCATGTTTTAGTTCACAATCCTGACCACAGTGATATATGAATTGATTTCTGAAAAAAAAATTGTACACATCAACACTGACACATTAAATATTCTTCTAAACAACATGTTGGTTGAATCCTAACTTTTGTTTCATTCACACCTCCCGTGTAGAAAAGATTACTTAAGCGTTCCTGACGAGGGAAATGTGTTAATAGTGAAATTTTAGTCATCAAAACTCAGCTATATTAATATTGATGCATCCTATAGACCGACATGCACATGGGCACAGACGCACACACACATAATGAAATCAGCAGCTCAGCAGTGAAGGCACATCATCTGCTAACAAAAGACGATACAGATCAAGTACAACGAAAAGGTCAAGCCCAAACACATGGTAAGCATAATGCCACCTGCCTACTGAGACCACACACATACATGCTTACCTCTCTTGTTGGGCACAGCAACTGAAAAAACACAAAGTCCAAGTTGTCTCTATGTTTAGGACACTGATACACAAGGGGGCTACATAGCGATTGGATTGTTAAAAATGGCCCATTGTGTGACGTCCTGTATTGGTATTTATGTACAATATGTTGAGAAAACAGGCCAGCAGTGATTCACACAAGAGCTTGATATGGCTAATAAAGCATCAGCCCCTAATATCAGATCAATATATCAGCCTCCAGGCAGCAAGCTCTTCAGATGAACCAGCTTTTCTGCAGTGTGTGCAAATGAAACAATAATAAGCCTCTTATCATCAAAGTAAAGAGATTATGGCTAAACTGAAACGTAATTGCAGAAACCAACTTCATCACATTGCAGTTGATTAAAATGCATTACTGTCACTCTGAAGGGTCCAGGCTGCTACAGGATCAGTCTCTCTGCCTGATGGAGATGATCAAAACACCCCACTGTGTCTCAGAAAATCTGACATAAAGGGAGCGGGTATAAAAGTTGTTTTTTATTTTTATTTTTTTACAAGAGCCTGCCTGGAGCCTTTACGGTGGATAAAAGGATGTTGATCAACCTAACAATTTTTTGTGTAGCTCCACATTTGAAATCCCTGCATCAATGAAACAGCTTGCTTCCCCACAAAGCAAGTGGCATATGCCACCATTTGACTTGCATGAGTCTGAAACATAAAGATACTTTTGAAGTTAGTTTTGCAGGCCTAATGTGCAATCTGCCACACATGTCACGCTGCTCTTTGAACGACTTCTCTCAGCAGGCGCCACGTTTTTGAAGATTAATGGCAATCGATAAAAAAATACAGTCGACGTGAATGGTCAACGGCACAATGAGTATTTCAGGGCCACAAAAGGAAGTGTGGATTGCTGGGAACAGGGGAGTTGGGGGGTTGTAAAGTGAAGAGAAAAGGTAATAAAAAATACAATAAAGATCTTTGATGGAACCAACTGAACATAGTCTATGCCTTCTAGAGAGGTCTACATTACTAAAGGATTCATGACTTTACTTATTTTGCTATTTCAATTCTTTAAAACTGAACAACACATTCTTCAGAGTAGTCATCATACGGAATGCATGTACGGGTCCTGCAGCCATCAGGGCAAACAAACTCTGCTGTGGATCACACTTCTTGTGTTGTGTTTATGTGAATTTCTAGGGTTAAAAAGCCCTCACAATAACACAACACAGCATCACTTTGCCTCACATTCCATCTACCTCATCTAAGCAGGCCTTGTGTAAGCCTAATACAATCATGGCCCCAGATGCATTTAACATGGCTGTTGCAGACACCTTGCACGTTTTCAACGCACTGACCAACAATCCCTATAAATTGTTTGGCCCCACTTTACTGTGGACTGTTGCCACTCCTGCCACTGTCTTAGATACTGTCCTGAAACAAACCTGATTATAATGTAGTGATACATTTGCAAGCCAAGGAGGAATGCAACGTGCATAGAGTAATGCTCACCGTCAGTCTGTGACTTGCTGAGGAAGATGGTGCTGGCCCGGGGATGATCAGAGGGATTGTACTCCATGGGCAGATCTGAAAAAAGAAGGAAAAGAACATTAGTCTTACAGGCAGCATTCAAATCAGAGATCTGTTGACTGATTTGTATACAATTTGAAAAACCTGCACACAACATTTTCACTTTAAATTTAGTAGCTGGACAAGATCTTAGACTCTTTTTGACAAATTAAGATTCACAATATACAGCAACCATCAGTCTAGGAATAGTAAGCAATGAACACAAGGCTGGGATGTTTTACCGGAATAACTACAACAGACTGTGGACTGAAACCTTTAATTTTGAGGTTAAATGTGTGGAACAGGCTTTAGGGGTTAACCACCTCTCTTGTAATGGACTGAACCGAATGGAAAAACAATCTGTCAAACGACAGTTTGCTGCACCAGCACTGTGTAAACGGTGGTTTGTAAATCGATGTGCTAAGCAAACACAGCAGAAAGGTATAGATTTGTCTTAGATCACTGTCTGTACACACATACCACCTAGGATAAGCCACCACATAGGACAGTAGCTGGCAATATGGAAACGGCAATAAATCACAACAAAGAGATATCTGAGCATCCAATGAGCTAATAATCTCTGACAGCAGAGTTGTACAACATCTATCTTATGAGTGTGACACTGACTGCTGGTACAGCTCTCTGCCACCAGGTGCTCTCTGTCACAAGGTGGCAAGCTCAGACTAATGTCCTCAGAACTGAATTGAACATGAAAACACGTGTGAACATAGGACCTTTACGAGCAAATTTAAGAAGATAGGATTTAAAATTCTGTGTTAGCCTGCATTTAATCCTAATTAAGGATTTTTTAAAATTAACATCTACTTTCTAAAGACAACATTGCTGAATACACACCAAATGCATTTTCAGATTAAAATTCAATGCTCGATTCTTGTAAAAGACATTTGTGATCTTTACATTAGTATCACGATATTTTGTTTTGTCATATTGTATTGATTCCCAAAAACACAGTACAGATTTTTGTGTTTAAACGTCCAACTGTTAGATAGCAGTGTTGTAAATGTAAAAAATATTATATATATGTATTTGTATATAATCCCCTCCTTACAGTATTGCTTAATTCAGTATAATTAAACCCCCTGTATTGTGATGCACCATATTGATTAACACCGGATTCTTGCCAATATCCTGCCCTAGAAAGAGTGTTTTAGTAATGCAAAAATTTATTTTTTCTTCATTACTAATGAATCTATTGGCTATTTGTTTTATTGATTGATGAATGGTTCAGCCTATAAAATCTATAAAAAAAAGAATGTGAAATGTCCCTCCCAAGTTCCCAGAGCCAAAAATACACACTTATTTAAAAGATTACCTTTCAGCTTTTAATTTTTTAATTCAGTCAGTCAATCTCCCCCTGTTAGATGTGTATGTGTCAAACCAGCAGCAGCTACAGACACTGTCGCCTGGCAGATGGCTGCTATGTAAAACCTCTGAATATATCAGTTTCAATTTTGTGTCCTAGTTCTTTGCCCTGATTAAATCCCACAGGCAGAAAATTTTGTTTAAATTGTAAACAAGAAATTTGCAAAGAGGAGTCTAGATTTATTCTAAGCCTGCAGCCCATGTGTTCAGAGCTTTTGGCTGTTGAAACAGACAACCACTTTTGTTTGAACAGTGGATCAGTATTACAGCTCCAAGGTCGTTGGATTTTATGGTAGCCTGGTAAATTGATTTAATATCCTGAACAACCTCAGATGAAACATTTGTTGATATACATTTTGATCATTATCATATTCCGGTCTAGGTTAATCATGAACTAAAACTAAAATACTAACGCCTAAAATCTCAAAACAGGCAAGGAAACTAAACTAAAACGTAACGCACACACAAAACAGTGCGGGGTGGTGACCCCATTAGTAGCTTCCTTTTTTTCTTGGATGAGGTCAGTGAAACAGGAAGGGTCAGATGGGACCAACACCCAGACAGACTAATAGAGCGACAGAGAAACAGATGCCAAGAGACAGAGAGACAGAAGAAGTGTGACAGGCCGATAATGAGAGAGAAAAGGGCGAAGAGGACAACAGAGCAGAAAATGAAGCGAAGGGAGTGACAGATCTGGAACATGATTGACAGGGAGAGAGAGAGGACAGCAGGGGCAGAGAGAAAATGACAAAAGAAAATTGAGATAGCAGGGAGGATATGAGAAAAGAAAATAAGAGATGAGAGCTAAGGTGAGGAGAAATTGGGGGGACAGAGAAGTAGAAAAGGTCAGTTTGCAACAGATTCAGAATGAAACCTTGTGGACATGGTCGCAGTAAAACTTTAGTTTAAATCTACCATTAAAACACACTGTATAATGAGAGCATACCTCAGATCACAGAACCTCTTTCACTACACTGAAGGTTACACATGCAAGCCACTGCTATTGTGTCCACAATCTTTTGAACTACTGTCTTTTTGGGTTTGAGAGCCACTTGAAGAGCCTCAAAAGGACACACACACACACACACACACACACACACACACACACACACACACACACACACACACACACACACACACACACACACACACACACACACAGACATGATGTAGGAGGACCTGCCACACGCTGCTGAATAAAAGATGGGTGTGTGGGAAGTAGCAAAGAGCAGTGAAGGAGAACTGAAGGTGGATTAATGATGCTGCACACACTGTTAGTGACGTATACAGTACACACGGTGCACTCACTTATACAAACTGCAACACATCTGTCACAAACAACTCTTCAGAGCTGGGTTTTGTGCGGTAAGACATTTTTACTTTAAATTTGCACGGATATCATTTAGAAAGTTGTTTTTCCTGGTGATTTCACATTTTTAACACAGGAAGCTGACTGTCCACAGACCCAGGGAGTGTCCCTCTGGGTGGCTGGTGTCACTGACCTTTGGTGCAGTTCCACCCTCCCCAGTTTTCTCCCTTTCTCCAACCTGGGGTAGACGAAAGCACCCAACTTCCTGCGTTTCAGGAAGCGGAGCGGAAATGAAGTAGGGGGTTGGCGGTCACACATTGTTAGGGAGGTAAGCTGAACAAAGAGTGGAGGGAATAGCGTGTGGATTTAAGCCAGGCGTGTTTTAAGTTCTACCATTTACACTCACATGCACAGACAAAATGAAGATGACACTAAAGCAGCCATAACTCATTGCCCTTCTCCTCTGATAAATGAAAAGATTTCTGCATGTTTCCACCATGCACATAGAGGCCCCTGGAACAGTGCCATTCATAGCAAAAGAGATCCATCACCTGGGCATTGTCTTGTCAGCGACAGTCGTGTAACAATCATACAATAATAAATGGAGGGTCGGGATGAAATACAGCATGAGATGATACACATTTATCAGCCATCAGATATTCATACTTAGGTCGCTTACTTTTAATATATTTAGTTGTATTACGCTATTGTGGGCAATGTTGCGAATCAATGAGCAGGACTGCAAATATATTTCTATGATTTATGCCTCAATGTGATGAAATACTTTGATTTGTTAGGTATGTAATTTGCTGGATTAATTCCTCTCTGGTCATTTTATCCACAGACAGTATTAGTTGATTTTCAAGAACGTTTACTACATCACAATGTAAAATTACATCAAGCATGCTGAAGGATTTTATCCATATTGCCCACTCCTCATGGAAGGGTTGCCTTCATTAACATATATTTATTAAAAGGTACATACTAGGGTTGGGCAATTGTACTAATGTATTGGCCAGCCACCGTTGAACGAGTGAGAGGAAAAATACCGGTAGAGTCAATGTATTTGCACATCTAACTGCAGAATACAGTTACAAGGTGATTTGCAGAGGCTCCAAACAATACTCTAACTCCGGGGAAGATGAGGACACAGCAGGGACAGACCGGGACAGGAGAGGAGAGGCATGAAGCGGATGTGAGGGAGGTGGGGCATCAGAGAGGCAGCGACAGCACATATAGCCAGAACTCTGTTAGATGGTTAGACACCAGAGTTGGTGATTGTTGGAACAGTGTAAAGACTAATAAAGATGGTTTGGTCAGTTTCATTTTGTTTCTGTCAGGTTCGAATGAAGGAAGGGAGGATTGGAGTCGAAGTTTTTTAAAATATTTTTTGTGTTACCAATAGTTACCATTTTTATTATGAATTTATGAATTAATTTATTATTGCACAAGACTGCCAGTATTAAATAACTCCTGTACTGTACATTTGTTTGTAAATTCTATGCTTTGGTCACAACCAGTTGTCAGCTCATCTGTGAATTACATTTCATACTGCATATAAATAAAAACAGTATATCCCTGCTCAGTCTTCTCCAGGAGGTTATAAATATTGAAAGTTCATTCAAATACTTAAGATGAAATTGGTTGAAATAAAAATAAAAAACCCTGAAACATGCACCTGAGCCAGCTGCAACCACCTGCAGCATAAGAGGAAACTGATTCCTTTCATACTGCTGATACACTGTGAACAGGAATATCTGTATTAGTGTGGTTAGCGGTTAGCTGGCACTGGGCCTGCCTGCCCTCTGAGCCTGTCATGAGGGTGGCATAGGGTTGCAACATCAGCCCAGACAGGAAGCCCTTTGCCGGTTTTTGGCTGCCCTGCTGAGGTGCCAGCCTGAGGGGATCCAGATGGCGCAGCACGGCACTGCCCGGCTGTCAACAGCACGCTATCAAACAGTACGCCCACATGGTGGAGATAAGAAGCACACAGCACATCTTGTAATGGAGTGTTTGAGAAAAGAGCACACGATGTAGCTGCTGTTTGAAAATAGATTTGTTAAAAGGAACACAGTGTTTGCATGGTTGCAGTTAATGTGACACTGGATACTATTTTTGTAACTTCAATTCAGACTGTTTTGTTGCTGTTTGAAATGATGCAGTCTGGTTCAACCACTGATGAATCCTGATGTGGGATCTTGAAATCATTTAACTTAAGCAGTCTAAGGGCTAAACCCTTCTTGGAGATCAGTATTTTACAGAATGCTTTTTCTAAAGGTGTTAGTGTAATCTAAGGTTTGTAGAGCAAATGGGGCAAAGCAAGCCG